ATTTGCTGCGCATGCTATCCTGTGTTCCACTAGTTATCGTGACGCGTTATTTGTACACTTTATCGACTTTCTTATGTCAGTCATTTTTTATTTCACTGTTACGCTTCTCTTTTGATAGCTTTAATAGACTTCCGGTGCGTTCGTGACTAATTTGACGAATTCTTAAGTTATACCAAGTGACTAGACTCTCACCCCCTTCCCCCAGTGACGTTCCTTAAAAAATAGTTTTCTTTGAAGAACGTCTCAGTAACTATGATGAATTCACAGTCATGCACGCTGCTCCTTTTGTAAAGAAGAACCCTTGAACCCCCCACATGAACCAGGAACATGAAAGTGCTCCCATACGTTCTGGAACAATTAGTGCTTATTTAGTTTTCTTTCCTGTATATTATTATTTTTTCAAGTCTACTCGTGCTGATACTCCAACTCGGTCTCTCGAGTTGCCACGGACAGAATATTGTGTATTGAAACCATCGGATCGAACCTAACTTAACCTAGCCTAGTCTAGCCTAGCCTAACCTAACCTATCGACCACGCATATAAAACGGGAATGTTCGTGAGCTGGTATGATTTGCAGTACCTTTTTATTTGTCCGTTAGGGATATTAACATCAAACTGCGGTGTATTATGTGAGAGGACAGATTGATAACCCCAACATCATATCAACATCTCAGTCATTGTTCTTCACGGCAACCGCATATACACCATTATCACCACCACTACCACTGTTATCTTCACTATTACTATCACTAAAACTACAACCAGTACATCTTCCCCAATTATCAATACTGCCACCATCACCGCCACTGCACTGTTACCCCCACTATATTTAGCAAGCTTCACTACTACCAATAACACCATCAGTTTCATCACTATCACCAGCACCAGGCAGCAGCCGCAGTACCAGCAGCAGCGGCAGCAGTACCACCACCACCACCAGCAGCAGCAGCTGCAACAGCAGCACCACCACCAGTCGCAGCAGCAGCAGCAGAGGTTTATCGGAAGGTCTCCTTGAGGACAGCAACAATGCCGGCATCAGCATGGGTCTCGCACTCGTACTCAACACAGTGGAAGGTTGAGCCCCAGTCACAGTGCTGGGAGTCACCGAACTTGTAGTACTTGACTTGTAGTGACATCTGCATCACCAGCCCTCCCTTCAGCTGCAAGGAGAGAGATGGAGAGAGATGTTAGTGACGACGGCATGTTGGGTTGCAATCTACGGGATGAGTATGTTGGTTCAAGTTCAAGTATGTTTATTGAGACAAGAAAGAACTACATCTCAAAGGGATAGAGTAGCTTAGGCTATTTCTACCCCCAAATATGTTGGTAATGTTCTTAGATTTAATATATATACGGGAAACCTATGGGTGTAGTATATATACACAATCTTAGATGAAATGTAGTATATATATGTATACCTGGCCTAAGAGGGGGTTAGGTTAGGTTTTTTGCCTTCTTTCTCGGGTTCTTTAACGAACATTACAACAAACATGGATTTGTTTTTGACCGCCACAGTTCACTTCTTGAACACATTCGCATTCGCTGTGTGTACTAACATTTTTTGTGAACGTGTTGCATGAAGAACTCGACCGTACGTTGAGTCGACCATCTATCTCTCTTGGTAGGTGAATAAATGCATTTTCTCTATCTAGTGATATTTGCTTCACTCAAGCGTGCCAAGCAAGTATTTTCAACAACCAAACCAAACAACCTAACTCAGGCCTATGTTCAGAAATTTATCTTTTACATAGAAAACCAAAACTATAAAATTGGCATGTCTGTAATACGTATTGGCTGTTTGTAATACATATAAATTGTCAAGAAAAGCAATGTCGATTCATGTTCAAGTATGTTTATTGAGACAAGAAAGAAATATATCTCAAAGGGATAGAGTAGCTTAGGCTATTCCTACCCCCCCCCCTACCAATGTCGATTATTTTTTATTTTATTTGGTGTTGTGTTCGGACTTGTATAAGCCGCCTCTGAACCTCCAGAGATAAAATAATCCGATCCCAAACAACCGGCCGAACTGGTTGACTTGTCTATAGAGTGCTCTGGGAACAAGCATTGATGAATTCACACAAATCATTAACGAATCTCTGAAACCAGAAATGAAACAAAGAACAAATCTTAAAATATAATGTATTGGTGAGAAAAAAATAATGTTCTGGACAATTTCGTAAAGTTTGTTAACATAAGTGTTTTAAAGAGAAAGAAAAAAGGAATGAGGAAGAAGGCAGCGAATATTCGGGAATGAAAACTGGTGAAGGAAGGGGAAGGAGGTAGGTAAATCTTTCCCATGAGATAGGTCTAGAGGCCAAATTGTGGGCTTATCTCTTAGTCGTATGAGAGAGAGATAATGCATGCATGCAGTTATAAATATGTGAGACGCATTATAAAAACAATATAATCTAGAAAAAACAATATTAATGCAGAATATAATAACTCTACACTGCACTATAAAATAATTATAATAAAGTGAATGACATGGAAGCAATAATTAAGCCTTAATTGTATCCATTTATAATCCAGTGTACATGATGCTTTGTGTATATTAATGACAAAATATAATCGTACACTGTGATCCATATATATTTGGTTGGTGTTTTGAAGTGACCATCAGACCACGCCTGACAGCTGAGTGGACAGCGCTTCAGATTCGTAGTCCTGAGGTTCCGGGTTCGATCCCCGGTGGAGGCGGAGACAATTAGGCAAAAAGTTTCTATCACCCTGATGTCCCTGTTACCTAGCAGTAAATAGGTATCTGGGAGTTAGACAGCTGCTATGGGCTACTTCCTGGGGGGGGGGGAGGTGTAACAAAAAGGAGGCCTGGTCGAGGACCGGGCCGCGGGGACGCTAAGCCCCGAAATCATCTCCAGATAACCATCAGTGTAACTCTATGGTGCCTCAGATGAGCCCCTGACCACACCACTGGGCAAACTGCCCTTCTTTAATATTGTACACACATAACAAGCTAAGGCAGGCAAACATGCGACTGGTTAACTATAATAGGCTACTTTTGAAATGTATATTGACACGAACATCGTAAAACGTATATAATAATCTGCAATAAGCAAAATTAGATTCAATAATCATTAACAATAAGTATAAGCTTTTATTTTTGCTTTTGTTCCAGAAATCTTGTAGTAACAGGAGTTAGCTCTGTCTTCCCGCCCTCATTAACATGCAAATGATTTGAGTGGCAAACTGCGGCACCTATTTACACAGGAATCTTCGCTACCAGACGTAGGATGAGAGCCCAGAGTGTTGTCCTCCACCAGAGTTAAATTATGGTATTACGTCTGGCAGCGGCGTGGCGGTTGGTCTGTAGAAGAGCCGCGCTGTTGTGGCGAAATTAGGTTTGGAGAATTTAGCTAAATTTCAATATTGTTCTAATTTTAATCTTATGAAATGATAAAGCTATTCATTTCATTATGTATGAGTTATTTTTTTTTAAATTTGAGTTACAACTAACGGAGATATATGACTGAACCCAATCTACCCTACCTAACCTAACCTAACCTAAACTAACATAACTAAATCAATAAGTTATGTTCTTAATATAATATAATAAAAATATTTAAAATAAACCAAATGGAAACAATTTATTGAAAATAAAGAAAATCACTCGGCCTATTAGGCAAATCGGGCCTTGCATAGTAGGCCGAGAAGTGCGTTCTGGCTACTAGGTACGACATATTATATATATATATATATATATATATATATATATATATATATATATATATATATATATATATATATATATATATATATATATATATATATATATATATATATATATATATATATGAAAGAAAGCTTGAATGGTCCCTATGCCATAAATCACTTAAGAACTCTATGACCCGATCAGGGTTCGAGCCTGCATAACCAGGACTGACCCGCTGGCGTACACAGTGCCATAACCACCTCATCAGCGGTTGCCAGTAAGGACAGGTCAGTCCTGGAGCTCATTCACTGGGCTCCATGACTGCACATTCCCCGGCAACCCTCGTGGTGCAATTTGGGCACAGTTGTTCATTAAATGTTGTATACAGTTACACATGTGTATACATACTGTACACATACACATACTACTCACACCAGCATCGGGAAAATGTTTATTCTGAGAGTTGTGAGGTGGATGACCTATGTACCCTTGAGTTTCAAGGTCCCCCCATGCTATTCAGGTTCCCCATGCTATACATGGGGGACCTGAATACATGCTATACATGGGGGACCTGAATACATGCTATACATGGGGGGACCTGAATACATGCTATACATGGGGGACCTGAATACATGCTATACATGGGGGACCTGAATACATGCTATACATGCGGGACCTGAATACATGCTATACATGGGGGACCTGAATACATGCTATACATGGGGGACCTGAATACATGCTATACATGGGGGACTTGTTACAGGGACAACAGTCCACATTTCGCACGTTGTGTCTATAGTTGGTCTAAGTACTTTCATTTTGGGAGAATGGGTTAAATTTTGTGGGTCTTTTTTAACTTTTAAAAGTGAGGTGGTTTGCTAAATTACGAAGGTGATGGTGTATAGAGCATATTTGGTATAGGTGATATATTTGCGATTGGAAGATTACAGGTGACGACAACTTTGAAAACATAGATTTGTGTAATGGTAGGCACCTGGCATCTCTTTCTCTCTGCTCTCACTCATTCTCTTTTTCTTTCACTCTGCCCCTCACTCTCTCACATTCTCTCTCCCTGACCACCATTTCGATAATCAGAGACGAGAGGTTAATATTTTAAATATATCCTTGTTTATTTTACAAGGGAACATTATCATTAAATGCACGGTAATGCTGGAAAAGTTACTCTCCCCCACTCGAGCGTTCTCTCCCCTCTCTCTCCCTAGCTCTTCCCTCTCTCTCCCTAGCTCTCCCCTGTCTCTCCCCTCTCCCTCGGGCTCTCTCCCTCTCTGTCTCCCTTTCTCCCCTCCCCCTCTCTCTACACACACAGCCAATGTCTGCCATCACTAATGTCAGTGAAGAATTGCTTCCTAGGGATGGTGTTGAAGACGAATTTTCTGTCTGTGCCCACACATTCTTCAGGAGGACCCGCCTCCTCCAGGAGGACCCGCCTCCTCCAGGAGGACCCGCCTCCTTCAGGAAGACCCGCCTCCTTCAGGAAGACCCGCCTCCTTCAGGAGGACCCGCCTCCTTCAGGAAGACCCGCCTCCTTCAGGAAGACCTGCCTCCTTCAGGAAGACCCGCCTCCTTCAGGAGGACCCGCCTCCTTCAGGAAGACCCGCCTCCTTCAGGAAGACCCGCCTCCTTCAGGAGGACCCGCCTCCTTCAGGAAGACCCGCCTCCTTCAGGAAGACCTGCCTCCTTCAGGAAGACCCGCCTCCTTCAGGAGGACCCGCCTCCTTCAGGAAGACCCGCCTCCTTCAGGAAGACCCGCCTCCTTCAGGAAGACCCGCCTCCTTCAGGAAGACCCGCCTCCTTCAGGAAGACCTGCCTCCTTCAGGAAGACCCGCCTCCTTCAGGAGGACCCGCCTCCTTCAGGAAGACCCGCCTCCTTCAGGAAGACCCGCCTCCTTCAGGAAGACCCGCCTCCTTCAGGAAGACCCGCCTCCTTCAGGAAGACCTGCCTCCTTCAGGAAGACCCGCCTCCTTCAGGAGGACCCGCCTCCTTCAGGAAGACCCGCCTCCTTCAGGAAGACCCGCCTCCTTCAGGAAGACCTGCCTCCTTCAGGAAGACCCGCCTCCTTCAGGAAGACTGTTAGAATGACTAATATGAAACTATTTTTTCCTGTGGCAACGTGGCCGGCTAGAGGTGAGCACCTCTCCCTGCCGGAGCGTGGAATGCTTACAACTGCTGGCCATCCTTGTAGGGGCACCTTGGCATGCCATTGCCCGAAAGACGAGGGCATCCCCATTTATTCCTTGGGGTCGTAACCTGTTTGCGTAGAATTCTTTTCCCGGCCATGACACCTAATTCCTTGACCACCTTCTTTAGTGTATTGCACAACCACTTGGGCTGGGCGGTAGAGCGACGGTCTCATGTCATGCAGGTCGGCGTTCAATCCTCGACCGTCCAAGTGGTTGGCTAACATTCTTTGCGTCCCTCCCCCACCCCCCGGTCAAATCCCAAATCCTTAGGGGGGGAGGAGGATTTGGGATGAGACGGAGGGGAAGGCGGGGGGGGGGGAGTGAAGACGATGGAGTGAAGGGTGAAGGGAAAGTATAGAAGTGGGAAATACAGAGAGAGGTATGAAAGCAGGCGGGCTGTCCGCCTTGCTGACACGATGTGTGGGTGTTGGCAGCTAAGCTAAGCTGGCTCCCTCTTGTCAGGGTGCTCAGTGTATGAGAGGTTCTTCACATGTGTTTCACTATATATGGATGTCTACAGAAGAATACTGTGTAGCATTCATATATACACACTTCGATGCTTCCAAACATGTATTGTTGTTTTATTTAAGGCTATTTGTTTTATTACTATTATTTATTGATATATATATATATATATATATATATATATATATATATATATATATATATATATATATATATATATATATATTATACGATTTTTATTTTCAATTATTGGGGGAGGGATTTCTGGTTAATGTTTCATTATGTACTGTGGGGCGGGGTTTTCATCAAGTAAATCGCGGCTCTTGGGCCACCAGCTGTGGGAGCGGGGCGTCTCATCTTGGGCCACCAGCTGTGGGAGCGGGGCGTCTCATCTTGGGCCACCAGCTGTGGGAGCGGGGCGTCTCATCTTGGGCCACCAGCTGTGGGAGCGGGGCGTCTCATCTTGGGCCACCAGCTGTGGGAGCGGGGCGTCTCATCTTGGGCCACCAGCTGTGGGAGCGGGGCGTCTCATCTTGGGCCACCAGCTGTGGGAGCGGGGCGTCTCATCTTGGGCCACCAGCTGTGGGAGCGGGGCGTCTCATCTTGGGCCACCAGCTGTGGGAGCGGGGCGTCTCATCTTGGGCCACCAGCTGTGGGAGCGGGGCGTCTCATCTTGGGCCACCAGCTGTGGGAGCGGGGCGTCTCATCTTGGGCCACCAGCTGTGGGAGCGGGGCGTCTCATCTTGGGCCACCAGCTGTGGGAGCGGGGCGTCTCATCTTGGGCCACCAGCTGTGGGAGCGGGGCGTCTCATCTTGGGCCACCAGCTGTGGGAGCGGGGCGTCTCATCTTGGGCCACCAGCTGTGGGAGCGGGGCGTCTCATCTTGGGCCACCAGCTGTGGGAGCGGGGCGTCTCATCTTGGGCCACCAGCTGTGGGAGCGGGGCGTCTCATCTTGGGCCACCAGCTGTGGGAGCGGGGCGTCTCATCTTGGGCCACCAGCTGTGGGAGCGGGGCGTCTCATTTTGGGCCACCAGCTGTGGGAGCGGGGCGTCTCATCTTGGGCCACCAGCTGTGGGAGCGGGGCGTCTCATCTTGGGCCACCAGCTGTGGGAGCGGGGCGTCTCATCTTGGGCCACCAGCTGTGGGAGCGGGGCGTCTCATCTTGGGCCACCAGCTGTGGGAGCGGGGCGTCTCATCTTGGGCCACCAGCTGTGGGAGCGGGGCGTCTCATCTTGGGCCACCAGCTGTGGGAGCGGGGCGTCTCATCTTGGGCCACCAGCTGTGGGAGCGGGGCGTCTCATCTTGGGCCACCAGCTGTGGGAGCGGGGCGTCTCATCTTGGGCCACCAGCTGTGGGAGCGGGGCGTCTCATCTTGGGCCACCAGCTGTGGGAGCGGGGCGTCTCATCTTGGGCCACCAGCTGTGGGAGCGGGGCGTCTCATCTTGGGCCACCAGCTGTGGGAGCGGGACGTCTCATCTTGGAGTAATCTTTCTAACATTGGGTCCTCTAACATTTCGATGGTGTTCCACACCCTGATGGCTTGGTGCTGCAGTCTGATGTTTAGTGGCTGTGTGTTCGGGAGCTCTTGGAGCTCCTGGATTGTCTGATCATATGGTGGACGGTGTTTTGCTGCTCTCCTTAGCGCCTTATTTTGTACTGCTTGCAGTTTCTGCATGTTAGTTTTCTTTATGGTGTGTAGTGGTACTGGGGGATACTCTAGATGCGGCCGAACTAGAGCCTTATATAGGTGGATCTGAATGTTTGTACTGAGGCTTCGGAATCTCCTCAGTTTTCCTAAGGCTGCTTTGGCTCTGTTTATTCGGTCCCTTACGTACATTTTTATCCCTGTTCTATTGACCACGAGTCCCAGTATTCTGCCTACCTCCGCATATTGGATCGTATGGTTGTCAAGGATAATAAGGTCTGGGTTTCTTTTGCAATGTGTGTGTGGTGGTTGTATGTGTGTGTGTGTGTGTGTGTGTGTGTGTGTGTGTGTGTGTGTGTGTGTGTGTGTGTGTGTGTGTGTGTGTGTGTGTGGTGGTTGTTTGTGTGTGTGTGTGTGTGTGTGTGTGTGTGTGTGTGTGTGTGTGTGTGTGTGTGTGTGTGTGTGTGTGTGTGTGTGTGTGTATGTGTGCTTCAGCTGTGCGGACTCTTGTGCCAAGCACAGGGCTCACCCTCCTCACCTTCTACCATGACTACTGCTACTACTCCTACTGCTCAAGCCCCACACATGCGCCGCCACAAGAAGTCGCCTGTGTCTCAAACACCTTGTGTGATGCGAGTGTCGGGCGAGGAACACTGGCGCTCCTGTCTTAACGAAGGTGTCTCAGGTTTGATTAATTAGCACAGTGACTCATTGGTATTCAAGTCTGAGAGAGTTGAGCTAAGTTGGGGGAGTGATATACGTGGTTAGTGTTGAGTAACAGCGTGCTAGGAGTGTGTGTGTGTGGATGTATGTGTGTATGTATGTATGTATGTATGAATGTATGTGTGTGTGTGTGTGTGTGTGTGTGTGTGTGTGTGTGTGTGTGTGTGTGTGTGTGTGTGTGGGGTCACCACTACACTGCCGTCAAATATATTCTTATGCAATACATATGCTGATTCTGCTGTGATTTTCTGTGTAAAAGTCTCACTTTGCAAAATTCTAACATATTATATGTCGCCTGTGTCCCGGGACCTTCATAGTACGGCTCAGTGAGCACATTACACTGAGTGCATAATTGCTGAGTACTCACCTAGTTGTAACCCTACAAAACTACAGCAGGACAGTTAAACTTGCCATATCAAACTATTGCAATATTTCCTTGTATGCAAATTAGACCTCAGTGGTCTTATTTCAATATAATGGAATATATCGCTCGGACACACAATTGCAGATTGCAATCCCCCCCCCTCCCTGACGAAGGTCTAGACTGTGTGTGCTCTGACCTCTACTTTCCCAGGGAAAGCAGAGGTCAAGCCAAGGAAAGTTTGCTTGGGGTTGCGCTACAAGCACTTGTTGGGGGTCAACGGTGTATGCAACACTGTTCTGCTTCTTGCAAGCATTGATGAATATGTGTTTGAACTCATTTGCTTGCTCGCTCTCTCTCTCTCTCTCTCTCTCTCTCTCTCTCTCTCTCTCTCTCTCTCTCTCTCTCTCTCTCTCTCTCTCTCTCTCTCTCTCCCTCTCTCTCTCCCCTACAGAGAAGTTACCCTCTCGTCCTCTACTAAAAATGATCCCCAGAAGACCATTATAATGTTAACTGGAGGCATGTGTCCCCAGGGGGGGGGGGGTGGCTGTCCTGCTGTCGCTCTGCCTCGGGGGACCCTCCTCCCCCCCGGCCTTCACGATACAACACGCTATCTCCAGTCCTCTTTATGATGTCTGCGCTTGTTTTAATAGCTGTCTGCTGCACGGTGGCTGTCTGCTGCACGGTGGCTATCTGCTGCACGGTGGCTGTCTGCTGCACGGTGGCTGTCTGCTGCACGGTGGCTGTCTGCTGCACGGTGGCTGTCTGCTGCACGGTGGCTGTCTGCCGCACGGTGGCTGTCTGCTGCACGGTGGCTATCTGCTGCACGGTGGCTGTCTGCTGCACGATGGCTGTCTCCTGCACGGTGGCTGTCTCCTGCACGGTGGCTGTCTGCTGCACGGTGACCGTCTGCTGCACGGTGACTGTCTGCTGCACGGTGACTGTCTGCTGCACGGTGGCTGTCTGCTGCACGGTGGCTGTCTGCTGCACGATGGCTGTCTCTTGCACGGTGGCTGTCTGCTGCACGATGGCTGTCTCTTGCACGGTGGCTGTCTGCTGCACGGTGGCTGTCTGCTGCACGATGGCTGTCTCCTGCACGGTGGCTGTCTGCTGCACGGTGACTGTCTGCTGCACGGTGACTGTCTGCTGCACGGTGACTGTCTGCTGCACGGTGGCTGTCTGCTGCACGGTGGCTAACCCTCGCCTGCCTGTTTATGTGTTTTCTGCATTCGTGGGTAACGTTTTTTACCCATTTTAGTGGGTTATGTCTGCTTTAGTAGGCTATGTTTGCTTTAGATTATGTCTGCTTTAGTCGGCTATGCCTACTTTAGATTATGTCTGCTTTAATGGGCCATGTCTACTTTAGTGGGTTATGTCTGCTTTAGTGGGTCGTGTCTGCTGTAGTGGGTCGTGTCTGCTTAAGTTCGCACACTACTGGCTACACAAAATCACTTCCTGATCGAAGTTGATCCAATTGTAAGATCGGCCTCACATTTCCCTTCCTCAGGAAAGTGCCAACCTCAAAGGCTAACATAAGCCATTCCTGAGGTAAATTCCGATTCTTTAAGTCTATTTCAGGAAAGTTTCCGCCCGCAGGAAAATTTTATTAATCCTAAGGTTCTCATTTTGAGGTTAATTACCATCGCCCAGATAGTCTCTCTTCCTCAGCAATGTTTCCATTCCCAGGTTGACATCCATCTTAAG